ATATATTCATATTATCATTTTAAAAAACTTAACGGCCTTGTTTGGTTTGTTTTTGGAAGAGTAATTTTGGAGAAAATTTTTCAAAATTTTGTTTGGTTTAGTGATTTTGGAAATTTTTTTCCAAAATCACTTTTTCTCTCCTATGTATCAATCAATCTCTTTTTCTCTCTTCTCTCTCTTTTTCAATTATTTTTTCTTTTATACACATCTACTCAACTACAACAAAATATCAAATCATCCCAAACTCCCATACTCCAAAACTACATCCAAAATATACAACCAAACAAACCAAAAAAATTTCTAAACTTTCTCTCCAAAATATTTTTTGAAAATTTATCTCTCAAAACCAAACCAAATACAAACATCTTTCCCCTTGTTCTTAATTCAAAAATCAGTGATTTCCAATAAAACATCTATTCCTTTCAAAAACAAATTTAAAGGAGAGACTTTCAAGATTTCAACCCAACTTATCAATATAACCATCTCTACAACATTTCTTATGATCCTATTTGAAAACCCCTCTTTTATACTCCTAAAACCAAACCAACATCAAACCCTAAATCAAACCTACAATTCCCAAATCATAACACTTTTTAAGTAACACATAACGAGCTAAGAATCATATAAAGAGGTTGAAGAAATCCCTATCTCAAGATTAGAAAAAGAGAAGAACAAGACCTAAAGTTTGACGGAGCTGAAAATGAAAACTTTTTCGATTAGAATGTTCACTTCTACATGCTTTACACTTTTTTCCAAAGCATTACGGCGGCGAGACCAACAGATTTGAGTATATAGAGGTGTTTAGACAAGAACTAGAGAGAGAGTCAAGAAATCTGATAAAGTTACCTTTTAGAGAGAAAAAAAATGATAGAAAATATCTTTTTTTTTTTTTTTTTTTTTTTTTTTTTTGTGTGTGCTGATATACGCACAGACCATTCGAGCAACCAAAACAATGCTAGAGTGTTAGACACAAAGAACCACTCGAGCGATCAAATCATGGCTCAAGTGCACAATGACCCCCTCCTAGTAGTTTAGACCTGTAAAAAGACCATTCGAGTGAAAGAAAGACCGTTCGAGCATCAGATGCAGAATACTGCTTGAGTGACCAACCCATAGCTCGAGCGAAGAACACCTTACTCCTGGAAGTTCAAACTATAAACACAGATACTATGATGAACCAAAGATCGCTCGAGTGACCCTGAAGAGAAACATGCAGAAACTCTTTTGAAAAACACTAACTCCCAACTTGTTTAAAACACAACCAATAATTAATCCCAATCAACAACAAGACATCAAGAAGTCTAAACAATAACAATGAGTGCTAGATTTTGAATCAAAGAATATAAAAGGGTCGGGCCTTAACCTGAGTCGTTATAGTATGAAAATTCACATATATAATTTTCTATATATTTGATAGGGCAAATTACATAAATGGTCCCTATAGTTTACCTGTGATTTCATTTTGGTCCCTACATTTCTAAATGTATCAGTTTTGCCCCTGTAGTTTGGTTTTTGGCTCGAAATGGTCCAATAGTTAACAGTCGTTGGGCTTTTGAATGGAAACCCCACGCGTGCCTTGCAAGGGAAGAAATCAGCCATTCATAGTTGGTTAGCCATCTTCACATGGCTCATCATGCAATAACTGGGGTCACCACCAAACAAACAACCAATGGATAAGAAGATGATGACGTGTACTTTCTATATATTAAATAAAAAATAAAAATTATAAATTAAATTTAATTAAAAATTATGGCCTTATAAATTAATTTTTTTTCGTGTTGTTAAAAAATTAAATTTATATATTAAATAAAATTATTTTTTTTAGTGTCATTAATTTAAAATTATATATGAAATAAAAATATAAATTATAAATTAAATTGAATTAAAAATAATAAATTAAAAGTGAAAAATGTTTGGGACTCCCTTTGGGGATGACCCCCACACCCTCAAAGTAATCCTGACCCTCTATGTATGTGTGGGGTCTACATCATGAATGATCCCGTTTTATGGGGGTCTTGTGAAGGTCTTCTGAGGGTGGGGGTCTCAATCATTGCTCATTAAAAATTATGACCTTATAAATTAAAATTTTTTAGTGTTCTTAAATTATAAATTATAGATTACAAATTTAACATTACATACATAGTGTTTTTCTTGTACTTTGGTTCCATTGTGGAGAAGAAAGCAACTTTTTTATGAAATCGGTAAAATAATTCGTCCAATATCTCATTTCCAAAGTGTTTCGCAAGTCGAATGGCTCATCAATGTTCAACAAAGGGTCTGTCAGTTGCATTCTCTCAATGCTAAAACATCCATTTCTTTCCACTACCCTAACCATGTCATTGGGGCGGATAATGTACATAGGTAAATTGAAGGAGTCCACTTGAGCTTCACTAATCAATCCCTGTATCAAAGATTGATCATTTCATGATTATCCCAACCGGTCCAACCTTGAGTTTTTCAGGGCTTTAAAGGAAACCCTAACCCTTTATATATTGACAATAAAATTTTAACAAAAATTTAGGGACCAAGAAAAAATTGATATAGCTCTTGTTAAGATAACAATAGTATAATCAATTACGAGAAGAGGGTAAAAGATTTCAATTTATGGGTCTTCTATACCTCTCTCTCCAATGCACTCCCAACTAAAGGATGTGGTGAAAATCTGGAGACATAATAATGCAATTAAAAATGCACTAGAAACTAAGGCGAGGTTTTTGGACAGAAAGTCCCGTACTAATGATTTTAATAACGTATTTCTAATTATTTGAAGGAAAATGCTATACATAAACCAAGTGTATATTAATATGACCTACAACCTATGCATGTAGTGGAGGAGCCAATTTTCTAAGATTATGATTATGAAATCCTAGAGAAATACAACCTAGTGACCTACCTAGGATACAAAATCCAAGAATTAGTTCTATTACAACTAGATGTGGCCTAAACCAATGGAACACACCTCCTAAGTCCCTTCCATTCCTTTAGAATTCAAGCAAAATCCTAACTTTCCACCCAATTCCAACTAAAGGGCTTTTATGTCCTTTTACCCCAATTTGCCTATATATACCACACCCTCCCTAGCTTGTAGACATACACACAACACACTCACTCACACACATTTTGGTTAGAGAGAGGGAGGAGAGCAAGGAAGAGAAATCTAGAGGAGAAGAAGGAGGAAGAAAAAAGAGTTCTTGTGCAAAGCTTGGAGGGTAAGCCACCAACACAACCCTCTCTTCATTTTCTTTTCTAATGCATGTTTTTAGAGATTCTAAATAAAGTTTCAGATCTGTTATTATCAAGTTCCTATGTTGAAAATACTAAGATTTGAGTATTGTTTCCATCTCTCATGTATTTTACCCATTTTGGCACAAAACCATCTTCTTTTGTACACATCTCTCAACTTTTCAAGGGTACTCTTTCAAAAAAATTTTCTGAGTTAAACATGTGATAGTTAGCATATTTTCTTCACAAAAGAAATGAAACTTTCCCATGGTGGAACCCCCTTTTTTGTAAATTTCCTTGTTTTGGGCATTCTACCTTAAAACCTGTTTTTTTCAGTCAACTTTCAAAACTTTCAGAAAAATGTACAAAAATATTCTGAACCTCTATTTTATGTCAAAACCGTCCTTAAGGAGTTAGCGTTCAACTAAAATTGGTTTCATTGAAAAACATTGAGTGGTTTGCAAGAAAATCAAGTTTTCGTAACAGTCGACAGATCTGGGCAGATTCTGGACAGATTTTGGAACAGTGCTGGACTATTTTCTAAATAACTTAAAATCGGGAAAAGCAATCCCATTTCCGAAAAATGTTCTAGGAACTAGATCAAATTCTCTACGAACCATACGAAAACCGAGTCCGGTGGATGAACCTAAGTAGTCCTTTCATATTAACCTTCATGTGATGTTAAATCTGGAAATTTGTTATGTTTGGATGTTTTATACCCTTGTATTCATGAAAATGTTTAATGGCTTATTATCATATCTTGGCATAATGTTGTATGGGTATGGGTATGTTATGTTATTTATCTTCTTATCTTGAGGAGGCATGCTTATGTGAATTTTATTTTATCGTTTAGTTGGACTAACCTTGACTTAAAACACTTAATTCAACGGGAAACCTAATTGGGTGTGCATTGGGTTTTCGAACACTTGAGTAATGAAAAGATGAGAAAATGTGATATATGGATTTTTGGGATGCGTTCCCTATTTGGAAGTTAAAGTCTTGTGTAAGTGGTTTTCGGAACCCTTGAACGGAGTGGTTGTATTCGGACCCTAGGTGGTTTGGTGTGAGGAGGGATTCGGGCAAGGCCCTATTTTTACCATCTCTTTTGAGGCCCTGCGGTTGGCGCTACGCGGTATATAACTGTTGGTAGGCATCCGAGGTTAGTTCTACAACAAAGTAGCAAAAGAGGGGGCATACCGAATAATCCGCGTCTGATTCTTGTGGTTGGGAGGACGGAATCTCTTTGGGGGATTTCTAGTTACTAACATCTGACTCAACTCTTAATGTATTTATTTGTTTATTGGAGTATCATGCTTTACTACTTGGTGCTATAAATGTGATTGTGTATTGGATTGGGAAAAAGGGGTGGGGTGTGTGTGTGTTTACTGGGCATTTAAAGCTCACGGCGTATCATGCCAGGTGACGAAGCAGAACTCGTAGCGGAAGACGACGAGCCAGAAACCTTTGAAGACTTTTGGCTATCTTAGGAATACTAGAAGTTTCTTTTTGGATATTTTTGTAAGACTCATATGAAGCTTAAAACTTCTTTTTGGGATGTAATGTAATGGAACAATCTTTTTAATCAAGTATAATTGTGGTTGTTATGTACCTATATCCTATGTATGAACCTTATCGTTGCTTATGAGACCTTGTGCCAATGCCTTGTAAGATCTGTCAAAAAGGTAGTGCGCTGCCTAAGAAAGTTGGACTTAGAAGGGAGGCTATTTTGACTCCTCCAGCGATCTGGGATCTTACTTGGTTATTGACCATAGGACTCACTAGTGACTCTCCCTTGAAAATAAGGAGAGACTCCTTAAGTTGGGCAACTTCCCTAATGTTGGCATTGGGTCTTCCTCTAGTTTACTATCCTCCAACAATAAGTTGGTGAGATTTGGATGGAATTGGTCTAGCAATTTATTAACCACATTCAGGGATCCACGTAAATCAAATTTACGAAGATTGTGGCATCCTAAAAGTTGCCTTAAAAGGCTTTGTTCTTCTTCTGTTCGGAAATCTCCATTAATCTTGATGGATGAAGATGGTAGAAGAAGGCTGTTTGAATTATTGAGGAGGATTGGAGATTTAAGGATCACCGCCAAGTCTTCGGGGGATACCCAACCAATTTCAACTTTTCGAAGATTTGTCAATTTGGGAAAGTATCTGACATCACAAAACTCTGTATGAAACGCTTCTAGTGTCTCCAATTTGCTCAAACCATCCAATCGTAACTTACTTGTACCAGTCAACCTGATTCCAGCAGGAAGATATAGATGTCTCAATTGTTTCAACCTCCACAAGACATTGGGCATTCTTAAACTCCCCTGTCCCCTTAAACCTAGGGTTTGGAGGAATCCCAAGTTGCCTATAGAAGAAGGCAAACTTTTAATAGTGGAATATCTTATACTTAAATACCTCAAGTAAATTAGGCTTCCTATTGTTCTCGAAAGCTTTCCTTCGCTTTTCCCAGATATAGTAATTCTTTCAAGGTTTAAAACTGTAATCAATGTGAGGCCCTTAAAGAGTAATTTTAATTTTTGCCAACCAGAACTTTCCAATTCTTTGCCAAAAGAGTAAAATTGGCATGATCGGATATGGCTGTGATTCTTCATTTCATGTCCAGATAGGAGAATAACATTTTCACTTTCTATAGAGTTGGCATCACAGTCACCCAAATAGTACACGGCAAGTCTACGGATTGTTGTTATTGATGATGATGAAGAAGGCAGTGCAGAGTCTGCCCATGCGAGCTGATGACCAAAGGCTTTAATGCGAACAATCTTGAGAAAATTCTCGTCTTTGGCCTTTAACAAGCATAAGTCTCTCATGAGATCATGGAGGCGACAAAGTTTAATGCTTTTTCTAAAGCTTGTTAATTCGACTTGAACCATGCATCTCTGGACTAACTCACCCAAGTAACTCATTCCAACATCCAACATTGGTTTCTCTCCTTCTACTGGTGTTGGTATTGATGATGGTGACACAATGCCTTTAGCCATCCACATTTGAATCAGTTTTTTTGCACGAATATCTTGATCTTCAGGAAGATGGCTCAAATACAAAAAACATGCCTTAAGATGGTAAGGCAAGTCTTGCTAGCATAAGGCTAAAATTTCTATTATTGGGACTCCTGGTTGGCCTTTGCCCTTACCTAAGTTATAACTAATGTTTTGACTCACCTCTTCCCAGTCCTCCAGTGTGTATTTTGTTGCCAAAAGTCCTCCTAAAACCACAATTGCCAATGGAACACCACCACAATGCTTGACCATTGCTTTCCCTGACTCAATCATTTTTGTGTTTAATGTGAATCCTACAAAAGTGTAGGGTAAAAAAATGCATCTGTTGGTAAGTTTGTAATAGTCTATATGGACGACACTGATACAAATAAAAAATAGCAATGTGTATTTATATTAAAAACAATAAAGGTAAACTTTCAATGGGTTCTAGGGGGACTTACGCGTAGGTTTTAATAAATAAATTTATTGTCCAATAAGTCTTATAATAATTAATAATATTTTTCATCAAACATTGTTAAAAAAAGTCACTAAATGTTAATTTTTAGTAATAGTTTGAAATTTTTTTCACAAAAAATGTTACTAATTATAAGTTCTAGTGACAATTTAAAAAAAATCATCACAAAAAAGTCACTAATTTTTAACTTTTAGCGACAGTTTGAAAAATTCCTCACAAAAAAAGTCACTACTTGTAAATTTTAGCAACAATTTATAAAAATCATGACAAAAAAGGTTGCTAATTGTCAATTTTTAGGGACATATCTAAAAATCATCACAAAAAATTATTTTTAGCGACGATTTTACCATAACTTATTTTCAATAGAATTTGATAAGAATGAAGTCCATTACCCTAAGTTGTAATATTTAGACTTAATTCCTATCAAATCCTATTGAAAATAAATCTTAATAAAATAATCGCTAAAAATAATTTTTATAATGATCTTTTGCATATCTTGCTGACATTAACAATTAGTAACTTTATTTGTCATGGTTTTTATAAATCGTCGCTAAAACTTACAATTAGTGACGTTTTTCTTTGACACAATTTTCAAACTATCATTGAAAATTAAAAATTAGTGACGATTTTTTTAAACTACAGCTTAAACTTATAATTATTGACATCTTTTGTAACAAAATTTATAAACTGCCACTAAAAATTAATAATTAGTGACTTTTTTAAATAGTGTTTGATAAAAAATATCATTAATTATCATAAAACTTATTGGATAAAAATGCACTTATTAGGACCTACACATATATCATCTAAAAACAGGAATGCAAGCTGCATATTGGCATTAGTTCTAGTATTGTAGCTAAACTTTGGACCCTGAGAAATGGTCTTGTTCTACCACTAGAGATTCATAAACATAATAGAAAATGTTATACTATCATTCATCAGAGTTTCTATCATAAGAGATATTACAGGCATTATACTTTCATAACGTTCATTCTGAAACTGCAGCATGTAACACTGATTGATTACAACAAAACAAACGTCCTACGGGCTTATATCTTTCCAAGATATCACTTGATTACAACAAAAGAGTTCTATGCTCTATAAACGTAAAGCCCTTGGCTTGAATTAACATTTAAACACAAAAATAACAAAACAAAGCCTCCAACTCCTAGGTCCTCCCAAGCCGCCCTTGGAGGAGGCATATCACTTGTACCTGAAAATGGTTTCCCAAGTAGGGTGAGCCAAAGCCCAGCAGAGATATACTAACACAATATATGAAGTTTAACTAAGATATATGCATCAGTTAAATGTTCAACATTCGCGACCAACTTACATACTATCCATGATCATCCGGTATTGATATTAACATTTCAATCTATTTCTGTTTATTCATTTCATATCAATTCATGAGTATACCTCATTATTATTAAATCAACCCAAATTGAGACTACAACTCAATGGTTCACCATTTAATACATTCATCACCGCAACATTTCTATTTTGGCCATTTTACGAAATTCTCATTCGAGGGAATCGGCACCCATGTACATAAGATTTTGGGACTTTCACCCTAGACACTTCGGCCAGCTTAATTTTAAATGGAGTTCATTTCCTATCTCCTCCCAAAACAATGGAGTACATCCTTTATCTCCTCCCAAACAAAGATACATATACAATGTATTTAATGACGTTGTCATATGCAATGACTATCCAAATCACATAATCAATGGTTTAATCAAACCATCATATTCAATGACATAATTCAAATAATTAGTTTCAATTTACCTAATCCTCATGCAGTTTCTACAACAATCATAGCTATCCTCCACCAATAGCCCAAAACAGATATACTATCTATCAACAGATAACAAGGTGTAGAATATACTTACCTCAAGAGTAGAAGCTCAAAGGAGATGATGAAGAACTTCAAAAATGCTCCAAATTTAGTTTTGTTCGGATCAAGAGAAAGCCTACAAGATTCTCTAACTCTTTAACAAAGGGGACTAGGGTTGAGAGATGCTTGGATCTTGAAGTATTTATAGAGAGAGAGAGAAATAACTTTAGAGAGAGAGGATGCTAGATTAGGGATTTGAGTGAAAAGAAATACAAAAAGTGATACAAAAATGCCCTACTGCGAACTAATATATACGATCCTCGCTCGAGTGAAGGAGTGGTCGCTCAAGCGACTAGAAACAACAAGTGACCTTGCTCGAGCGCAAAAAGTGTCACTCGAGTGTAGAATACATACCTTTAGGTATTTCGTAGATGCACACCCTTGCTCGAGCACAAGAAGCCTCACTCGAGCGAAGAACTTCATCTTCTCAGAAATGCTGCGTCTAGGAAGAAAACCTAAGAACCCTCAAAACTCGCTTGAGCGTAAGAAACCTCGCTTGAGCGAAGAAGCAAATTTAACAAGGCTCGCTCGAGTGCAAGAAGCCTCGCTCGAGCGAAGAAGCCAAAATCTGGGCAGCAACAATCTAGACCAACTAGCAACCAAACTGTTCCAAACACACCTAACATATTCCAAAACTCAAATTCAAAGAGTTAAAGGAAAAAAACAAGACATTGATATAATACTAAGCCATGAAACCTGAGTCTGGAATGCAACAAAGGGTGGTCAAAATCGAGATCACTATAACCTCCCCCCTTAAAGAATTTTGTCCTCGAAATTTTATTACAAGTTTCAAAACCATGATTACCCAGTTTTCAAAATGTTCACAGTTCAATTCTCATCATCATGACCCACCCACTGATCATTCAATCTCTTCACAGGAGAATAAATCCACAACATATTGCTTAACATATAATTTCAATATATATACCTCAGATTTCCAAAACATATTCAATGTTTATGATAAATTTGCATTTCCAAAACTTAGACAACATATACAATGTTCAAGTTAAACTTGCATTTCTGAAACATATTTAACATTTACAATGCTTTCATAATCCAAAACATATACAATGTTTTTGTAGTTCATAATGAAAACTAAAATTCCAACATATACTCAAACATCAACAAATAAGTCTGGATATTTCTCTCGGACTTCCAATTCACGCTCCCAAGTTGCTTCCTCAATCCCATGGTGTTTCCACAACACTTTGACCAATGAGGATTGTCTTGCCTTGCAAGACTTGGTCCCGTCTATCTAAGACTCTTACCGGTCTCTCCTCATATGAGGCATCCTCGTCTACCTCTAAGTCGGTCTAATCCAACACATGTGATAGATCCGGCTCATACTTCCAAAGCATACTAATATGAAACACGTCATGCACTCCAGAAAGTTGTGGCGACAACGCCAAATGATAGGCAACCTCCCCAATCCGTTCAAGGATCTCAAAAGGGCCAATAAACTAAGGGGATAACTTCCTACTCTTTTCAAATCTCATCAAATCTCGTTTAGGTGATATTTTCAAAAAGATATGATCTCCCACCTCGAATGACAAAGGTCTCCTCTTACGGTGGGCATAACTCTTTTGGCGACTCTGGGCTGTAACCAACCTCTTATGGATAAGTGCCACTTCTTCGTTATTTCTCGAACCAACTCTGGACCTAACAAAGCGGCATCACCCACCTTGGCCCAACACACTGGAGATCTACACGGTCGGCCATACAAGGCCTCAAATGGTGCCATGCCAATACTCGATTAAAAACTGTTATCGTGCGCGAACTCCACTAAGGGTAAGTGTTTCTCCCACGACCCCTTAAAGTCAAGGACATAGCCTCGAAGCATATCCTCAAGAATCTGACGCTCGGACTGCTCGTCAGTCTGAGGATGGTAAGCAGTACTAAATGTCAATCTAGTGCCCAAGGCACTCTACAAACTTTGCCACAGCCGAGCTGTGAAACGCGGATCCCTATCCGAAACAATCGTCACAGGGACCTCGTGCAATCTCACTATGTCCTGAATATACAAGTTAGCAAGGTAATCTACCGAATCTCTTACGCGCATAAGAATAAAATGCGCTGACTTGGTCAACAGGTCAACTACCACCCAAATGGCATAACTACCCCGTTGAGTCCTCGGATGGCCTACAACAAAATCCATCATGACATGCTCCTATTTCCACTCAGCTATAGACAAGGGTTGCAACAAACCCGCTGGCCTCTGATGTTTGGCCTTCACTTGCTGACAAGTAAGGCATTTCGATACAAACACAGCCACATCTTTTTTTCATACCTTTCCACCAAAACTGGCGACTAAGGTCATGATACATCTTTGTGCCTTCCGGATGCACCGCGAGGCGTGAACGGTGAAACTCTCGAAGTACTTCCTCTAGGCAAGACTCCAGCACAAACAAGCGGTGACGGTATCTTACACTCAGGTAGGGATATACAGTCAAACCCTTCTCTACCTTCCCACTGGAGATCTTCTCCCGAAGGGATTCTACCTCAAGGTCACCCTTCTGTGCTTCTAACACTCGGTTCACAAGTGTCAGTTGTGCAACTACTAAAAATAAGGTTGCAGACTCAACAGACTCGCCCAGATACAAGTCGAATTCACCAAGGGCACCCAACATCTCCCAT